CACCCCATATTGCAGAGCCGCATCAGCCAACACAGCCCCACAACATCCAGAGCCTTAAGGAACTCCGGGCGGATCTCATCCATCCCTGGAGCCTTGCCAAAGAGGAGCTTTTTAACCACCTCAGTGACCTCAGCACCAGAGATTTGAGAGGCAAACTCAAAGTCCCCAGACTCTGCTTCCTCACTGGAAGACGTGTCGGTGGGTTTGAGGAGGTCTTCTAAGTATTCTGCCCACCGATCCACAACGTCCCAAGTAGAGGTCAGCAGCACACCATCCCCACTATAGACAGTGTTGGTAGCACACTGCCCCCCCCCCCCCCCCCCCCCACCCCACCCCCCCGAGGCGCCGGATGGTGGAACAGAATCTCCTCGAAGCCGTACGGAAGTCTTGCTCCATAGTCTCACCAATGGAGGCATGGAACAGGGCCTGTTCAGAATCAATGTCCCCGGCCTCTCCCAGAACATTTTGGAAGCTCTGTCGGAGGTGGGAATTGAAGCTCCTTCTGACAGGAGACTCTGCCAGATGTTACCAGCAGACCCTTGCGATACATTTGGGCCTGCCTGGTGTTGTGATTATTAGTCATTTGGGCCTGCCTGGTGTTGTTATTATTAGTCAACGAATAATTTGTAAGCTTTACTTACTATCTTGGATTCATCAATAAATTTGTAAATATGGAAATATTTACCGATTTTATTGCGTAATTAGGATATCTGGAGATATGCCTTGGGGCACCACCCTTTTAACAAGGGAAAATGAATCCAAAACCTCTTATCAGTCTGTCTTAAAGTTAGTAAAATTTGTTTACGAGCAGCAGTCATAAATTCATATCACACAAACAAATTCATTTGAGACAAAACTGAATTGGCAATACATTTATTAACTAATATAATCACTTCAGCTCCTTCTGAAGCATTTAGCCATCAATATTAACCAACTTATTTTATCTAACAAACACAAACAATGAAACAATGAAATGATAATGTAAAACAATCTGACCCAATAAGTGTGTGTTTTAGTCTTGTCCCCTACAACACTAAAAACAAGTATATGTGTGTGTTGTCCCCCTAAACACGGAAAACCCGAATGTGTGTGTGTGTGTGTGTGTGTGTGTGTGTGTGTGTGTGTGTGTGTGTGTGTGTGTGTGTGTGTGTGTGTGTAGGCAACTTTCACTTTAAACTTCCAAAACACGTTCAATCACAGTAAAACTTAACCATAACACTTCAAATCGTTTGTTTAAGCTCAAGAAAACAACAACAGATCAATCAAAGGCAAATTTAATATCTAAATATTTGTTAATGCTGTGGCCACAGCTTAACAACTTAGATATTACAATGAAAGAAAAGATCTTACTTCAAGATGGTCTGGACGACGTATTTGGTATGGAAGATAGAAAGACCGTTTTTCTATTTTGAAGCGATCACGCGGTCGACCGCTTCTTCTGAACTATAGGAGAACGGGAGAGGAAGATGGATAAAGGAGGAAACAAGAAAAAAAAACCTCTTTTCCGAGCAAATTCAAGGCGTCCCTCGGCAATCATGCTGAGCAGATGTGATGGTTTTCCGCTGCTTTTCCGTGGCTCGGCCTCTTGTCGTGTGTCCGGAACCGTAGCAGCGAGCGATCTCTTTACACCAGTTGAACTCTGGACAAAAGATGACTAAGTTTCGTTTTGTCTCTCTTTTATAGACTCGGCTGTCCGGCAGGCTGGACTCTGTGTGGGTTCCAACTCATGCGCGGAACTTGTGTTCCGGGGTTCGACGCCGCTTTGGTGACATCATCACGTTGCTTCCGGGTGCAAAGAACCATGGGACATGAAGTCTCTTTTGGCGCTTTCTTTTATCCTCTTTTTATCTGCTTTTCAATGAGTGCAGATGAGCGCGTTCCTCCCAACCACACCTCTCCAGGTCTCACCGTCATTGCCTACGTGAGCGTTTAAGTCCCGCAGCAGAACGAGGGAGTCACCGGAAGGAGCGCTTTCCAGCACCCCCTCCAAGGTCTCCAAAAAAGGCGGGTAGTCTGAACTGTAGTTTGGTGCATAAGCACAGACAACAGTCAGAACCCGTCCACCCACACGTAGGCGGAGGCAGGCTACCCTCTCATTCACTGGGGTAATCCCCAACGTACAGGCACCAAAATGGGGGGCAACTAGTATGCCCACCCCTGCTCGGTGCCTCTCAGTGGGAGCAACTCCAGAGTGGTAGAAAGTCCAACCCCTCTCAAGGAAACTGGTTCCAGAGCCAGAACCATGCGTTGAGGTGAGCCGGACTATATCTAGTCGGAACCTCTCAACCTCACACACGAACTCAGGCTCCTTCCCCACCAGAGAGGTGACATTCCATGTGCCAAGAGCCAGCTTCTGTAGCTGAGGATCAGACCGCCAAGGTCCCCGCCCTCGACCACCACCCATCACACACTGCACATGACTTTGGCCCCTCCCACGAGTGGTGAGCCCATGGGAAGGGGAACCCACGTTTCCTCTCCAGGCTGTGCCCAGCCAGGCTTCATGGGTGAAAGCCCGGCCACCAGGTGCTCGCCAGCGTGCCCCACCTCCAGGCCTGGCTCCAGAGGGGGACCCTGGTGACCCACGTCTGGGCGAGCGAACATGGTTTCCATATATATAATTCATCATAAGAGGTAATAATGACATTTAGGCTAGAATGCATAAAACATGCTTATAATTCTGGAGTGATTGAATATTTATTACACAGAGATAAAGAAATGCTATCAGTAAATAAATTACCTTTTAAAAGATAGTTTTTTTTCATTTAAATGTGCTGATAGCTCATGTAATCCTCATAGGTAAATATAAAATGTCAAATATTTTTCCTGCAATACAACAAAACCACGGCCTTATTTAAGCTGTTATTTTTCCCCAAATGTAAATGTACTGGATTTATTTACTTATTGAATTTCTTGGCTATGATTTCACCACATTAATACACTCAGCTGATCTCTTCATGTCACCATGACATGGATCATTTCCAGTTTCTGTAGCCGATTTTAGTAGCCTAATAATAGTTTACCTTTAATCAGATAAACGTTCACTAGTTTGTGATTCAGCATGGATGATCCTGGCCCTCTGACTCCAACCAGGGCTCAGAAGGAGTTGGAAACAGATTTTAGTTTACTCCACACGTGCCAACAAGTTTCTGTTTTAAAGCCAAGGAAGAGGCTGAATCCAGCTCTCGTCACTTGCTGCTCTGCATTCTGGGATGGTTTCATGTGATTAGAGACTAGAACAATTCCATTCTGACCTGTCCTCACTCAGAAATGAACCTTTAGAACACGATGATCTAAGCTAGTGATGAGAGATGCAATAAATCCTTTGTAAACCTGCTGGAAAAGTAGCTGACATTTCTGTTTTTTTAGCAATTCAGTCGTTTTCTTAAATCAAAAAAGACCTCTTAACCTGCAGTTAGGTTAGTGTGTGTGTGTGTGTGTGTGTGTGTGTGTGTGTGTGTGTGTGTGTGTGTGTGTGTGTGTGAGTGTGTTTCCATTATTTGGGGTTATTTGCTGTAATTGAATGATGCCTGAGCAGCTTGTTAGGTTTCTCGTCGCCCATCCTCTGAACAAACAGCCCAGAGCCACGGAGCTGAAGAGCAGCTCTGAGATAAAGGGAGAGGAGGGCGGATGGAGGAGGCCGTCCGCTGAGGATCCCACTCCCCCATTCAATCTGTGCAATCTCCACTACAGCGAGAAATAGATTGGTTTTTAAATAGATTGCTTAGCTCCCAATCTCAGAGCCACTGAGGTGGGCACATTTCATAGCAGCTTTTGTTTAAATAAGTGCTGGAATATTTGATAGCAGAGCCACTTACGGTGCTGATATTAAAGCAACAACACTGTTAACACCAGACAATGAACTCATTTAAACAGAAATGTGTTTCTGATACCTTTCAGGGAAGGGGAACACACAGAAAAACTTCCAAACTGACTTTTATCTTCCTGTATCAGTGGTGTGGGAGAAGCTGGATGAGAGGATGGGAGTGGTGAGCTTTACTCTCACAAAGAGAGGAAATGCAGCAGTTGATTAATACAGCAGACAGAGCCTGCTGACAGAAAGCACATTAAGCTGCTGCTGCTGCTGGTGGTGGTGGTGGTGGTGGTGTGTGTGTGTGTGTGTGTGTGGGGGGGGGGGGGGGGCAGAATTATTATCACAATTCAGTAAGCAAAGGAGAGGAGCCTCCTCTGGATTGCTGGGAGTCTTCACAGTTAATTCTCTCTCCTTCAACTCAAACATTATAAAAGCAGATTATTAATAATCTGAAGGTTTGAATTTCTATGTAGTCAGAGGTCAGATTTAACCTGTTTCAGGTTTGGGTTAACTACCTGCTGGGTTACAAACTGGCAAATAAAAAAAGCAATGAGGTCAAGTAAATCATCAGCTGGATGCATAAACCTTGACTCGGATTTAACAGATTATTAGAGTGTTATTAGAGAAATGGAAGTTCAGTATGTGGATTATTTTTATATTGTTTCCTAAAAGAGCAACAATCGTAGGGAAATATAAATAAATCAGTAAAACTGTTACTGATGGGTGCAAATCTAACATGCATTTCCAAACAGTATGAATAACCATTATTGTTCTTGTGATTATTAATAATTATGTATTTGTAATCTGCAGCTTAATCCAACATCTTTAGAAACATTTTGATTTCAAGTTTTAGCAAAAATCTAAAATATCTCTCTTTCTGTGTTTCTACAACCTAAAAGTGGAGATTTTATCAACTATGTGTAAAAAAGGAAGCTGCAGACAAACAGAACTCAGCTTAATATCGTTTTATTTAAATTAAAATTTGTTCTTTAATAATATTATTTTATTTCCCCTGATGGTATCTGTTTTCAGTAAAGAGAAAAAAATGTTTCTGAAATAAAAATCTCAAATTCATATTCAGCTCTATTGATAATACCTTGCATTATTATTATTATTATTATTATTATTATTATTATTATTATTATTATTATTATTAAGTTCGATGATAAGAAAAATATCATTTTTTTAAATACAAATAATTTAAAATGGCTGTGAAAATTCTTGTGGACAATATTCGTCTTGTACATTTTATCAAATAAACTAAATAAAATATTTGTTGGAAACTTGATAATTGGCAACATTTTGTTCTTTTAAATGAAAACATCTGACAGAGAAAATAAACCAGTCTTCAGGATTTAACCAAAATGTTTATTTTTAGTGAGCAGAAAACTTCCAGAAGATAAATCTTCCTCTGAAGATTATCTGATGAAAGTGTAGGTGAGGCTGTATCGCCATGGTGACGGTTTAAGGGCGGATCACTGATGTCTTCCAGGAAATAGTTTTTTGTTCTAACACAGAAACATTTTAAACCCTCTTGTTTTATAAACATAAACCCTGGTAAAGTCTGACATTAATCATGATTTTAAACAGTATTTAGTAGCAGAATGTGACCGACTGGGGGTGTATAATCTCAGAGGCCATACAGAACAAAGTAAAGATGATGCATAATTAATTTGAACCGATCGCTGAATATTTCCTGTGGCCTTTTTGGTAAATGAGCCCAGGCCCGATCCATCCCATCATTACAGTCACTTTTCCTTAATAGTGTTCTTAATAAGTAATGAGTGGCCTGCAAACAGCTCCACCAGCAAAGCCTCCGCCAGTCTGGGAACTCCATCACACCAGCCGATAACAACGGAGTTATTACATAGAAACTGAGATCTGGCTGCTGACTGGTGGAAGTGTGTCTGAGACAATAATTAAAGCGTTGGGATCACGCCCGGCTGCTCCGACTGTTTGGGATTCTAATGAAAGCAGTTTTAACGGGATTACAGCTGATAAAACGTACTAAGATGCTCGTGGTGTTTGGGGGCTAAATTAAAAAGGATATTATATGCTAATCTGTGCGTGAGCGATAAGAGCCGCTGACAGGAGATCAGTTTTCTACGCTGAATACCAACGAAGGAGCCCTGGGTGATCTCCACCAAACCAACCTGCCATTCTTCATGTGATGTGTTCTTGTTTGTGTCTGGGAAAGAAAACAACAAAAGGAAGTTTGGGTTTTCAGAGCCCTAAATGTCAAAAGTATGAAATCATCACAAAATCACAAAACCTTCTCCGGCCCAAATACCGAGTTTATGTTTGGTCCGATTTCATCGTCCAGCACAGCAAAAAGAGCTGATGGTGTTAGTGAAGTTCAGTTTGTGTCTGGGGTCAGGAAAACGAAAATCAAACGTTGCTTCAATATTTATACGGAGGAAATTCAACATTCTTCTAATCATCAGACATTATTCTGCATAATTCTGCAGATTAGGCTTTGAAAACAAAGGTTCTATTTATTATTATGTGCAACAAATGCTAAATTAAGGCGTCGCATCACATTTATTTTTTGAGAAAATGATTTATTTATATTTACAGACAAGATTCTACAGAAAAAGACACAAATACATGGAAAACAGAATTTCTCCTGCTGATCTTTAAACAACCAACAACCACAGCAGCTCTTCTGCATAATAATAATAATAATAATAATAATAATAATAATAATAATAATAATAATAATAATGAGGAGGAGGACAGGGATCAGAAACGTCTGCACTCGCGTGATGAAAGCAGCACCAGAGTTTACCGTATCAGTGAGACATGGGATGATTGATCAGCTCATAAAAAGTCTGGTGATGATGTAACACGCGTGTGTTTTACAACACGGCAGCACTCTGTAACAGTCTGGCAACAGGCAGGCAGTTCAGAAACAGGCTGGCACACAGAATGACACTGAGATCGCACTTCGTAACACATCCATGTGCAGACGTGTGTGTGTGTGTGTGTGTGTGTGTGTGTGTGTGTGTGTGTGTGTGTGTGTGTGTCTGTGTGTGTGTGTGTGTGTGTGTGTGTGTGTTTACAGCCAACAAACCTGCTGTTTAAATGCTCTTACACAGTGTCGTGTTAGCATCTTAAGCTTGTGTTGTAGTCAGAGCGTGTCTTCGTTGTGAATCCATCTGTAGGGCATGATCAGACTTCCAGTGTTCTAGTGAATGGGAGTGTTTTCACCTGGTTGCCATGGCAGCAGTGATGTCAGTCAGCTGGGCCTCTACAGCAGCATAAACAAACCGACAGACACACACAGCGAGAACAGCATTCTGACGAGCAACACACAGAACAAGTCAGGCCACCATCGTCCCCCTTCAGGTTCTCCTACCCTTCCATGCGACTGGTTCCACGTGGCAGGAACCCTGTTAGCAGGGCCCGGTCTACATAAAGAATTGTGTTATTTGAATATTTTTGAAACATTTGTGAAATTTGCTCAACGAGGCATCAAACACACTTAAACGTAAAGCTCATTTCTACCAGAGCATTTTCTTTTAGACAATAAATTCAGAATGGCTGGTGGGATTTTTTTTCCTTTTGTGGAACACCGGCCCGGAGCGATGATGGGAGGTGACGTGTGAGGGCATGGCTGCATGAGTCAAGCTGATCCTATTAGGTGTTTAAATGGATTTTGCATGGGTGTTAGGGTTGAGAATGTGCCATCAGACATGGAGAGGGAATCCATATTCATGGTGCATCGCCACGGCAACATAGAAAATGCTGGTTATAGACCATTTGAGCCAAGGGTAATTGTTTATCTAGACGCCTCTCTCCTCGATGCATAAATTGAGTTGTCGAGTGGTAGACATTTTCTTTTCTCAGCTGTGTGTGTGTGTGTGTGTGTGTGTGTGTGTGTGTGTGTGTGTGTGTGTGTGTGTGTGTGTGTGAGGCTCAGCTACAGCAGCCGTGTTACAAGTAGCATAAAGCTCGCTGCGATAAATGCCATCTGAGCCGACATTTGCATAAAAAAAGGGGAAACGGGGAGGCGGCTTGGCTCAGCTTAGCCTGAGAATAAATGCATTACATGGAGTCAGATAAAGGGAGGTTCCACTCAATAAACAGAGCCCATGGATTAGCACACAGTACCACCAACTGATACTTCATTAATTTAAAAAGTTAGCTCGTATTAATCAGCACCGTGACAATACTTTTGATTTCACAGGGAATTATTATGTGCCTAATTTTTGTGTCATCAAATGAAATGAAAATTTAGACCACCTGCAGATTGTGAGAGATCGTGTTAAAATCAACTTCAACAACTCTTCTCCCTCCTCTTATTTCTGCAAAAATGATCATTCAGCACCCAGATGAAATGAAGCATCTGAAGGGTTTAGCATTCACTAGACACCGAGGGTGTAGCTTGGGTTCATTTCCCCTCTAAAACAGCTTTGAGGGTAAAAGATGAGTTCCTACAGGTTTAAAATTAAAACATGTTAGTTTTTCTATTTTACTTTATTTCCATCACACACTTTTACCTTCTAACTGGTTCTATTTAAGGATGACATAGACATTAGTGAGTGAGATAAGTGGAAGAAACCCCCTAACCCTAAAACGTGGACAGATGCAGGAACCCCCGTTTTACACCGGACATGTTTGTCCCACCACCTTGTCCTTCCTCCTTCCACGTCAACATCATGAGCCTCACACAACCTCTGACAGCGCCTGTTGGCTCCACCCTGTTTATAAACGATGTCACGCAACCATCGGTAGAAGAACGCAGCATTTTTGTGGAAACCGGGGGTACAGATGGAGCCTGGATGGTGAACTGTGTGTTGCTTTTGGGCACCAAGGCAGTGGTTACATGTGAAGATGTAAATCTGCAGGACCATGCTCATGCTGCCGTGCGTCACTCATGCAGATGGAGCCGCCAGGGCCGGTGGAATCAAGGAGTAAAACAAACCAGCACACGCACACACACACACTCACACACACACACCATGTCCATCACCATGGTTACAGAGACAGATGTACAGCCCCTAACAGAAATAAAACATACCGATGATGTAAATGAAGGGGTCGTTTAGTTCTGAACGGTGGAGTGGGGTGTTGCTGCTTCACCCAACCTGACACACCTTGACGGCTGGGTAGGTTGTCGAGGTGAGGTGAGGTGAGGTGGGGTGGGTGGGTGTCTGGGGCTCTGGGTGCTGCTGAGATTTGGCGAAGAGAGGACTCTCCTCAACTACGCGTATTCTTAAGCAATAACAACGTGATCCGTATTATCCACCCAAGAATACCCGTCACCGAAGAGAGTCTTTCAGTGAAAACAGGAAGCTAAGCCAGAAACCGCGTGAGCAGTGCCACTGCCATCGCATCATCATCATCATCACCACCACTATGGCCACCGCCTCCACCATCGGCAGCTCCCCCCAGTCATGCTTCGAAGGCAAACACACACATACAGAGAAAGTGGGCCAGTTGCATTGATTGAAGACGCCTTGCTCCATCAATGGCTTTTCTGTGTAGAGAAAACTTCAGTGGTGGCATTGACAGTCTGAGCCAGCAGCGCATCAGAGGAGAAACAGCACAAAGAAAGAAGAAAGCCTGTTGAACACAAACTTTGTGGGGTGAAGAATGCGGTGTTAGGGGGAGAGGTGAAACCTGGAACCCCGCCCTCCCGCAAGCCTCTTACCTGTCTCACCGCCCGGTAGCGCGGCCTTTGTCTGCTTCAAGGCCTGATCCCGCGCTGAAGCGGGGATTTGCTGCTCCTGCCTGGGTCTGTTCAGTACTCCGATCCCTGGGATGGATGGTTAGGTGAGGGGGGGGAGGGGGTTTGGTGGTGGGGGTTGGTGTGCACACAGAGATGACAGAGGGTTAGGGAGGTCAGGCCTGGAGCTGCTGCGGTGTGACAATAGCCCTGTACACCCAAACGAACCCCCTCGCGCGCGCACGCACACACACACACACACACACACACACACACACACACACACACACACACACACACAGAACTCCCCCAGCTGATGAGCTCAGCTGTTAGAGTCTTCTGAAAAATTCTTTAACACATTTCTACGTTAGAAGCTCATTTTAAATTCCTGCATTTTTCCTTTTGTGTGTTTGTCAATGAGAACAATAATCCTGAACGCTGCTCCGCAGACATGAATAATGGATGAAAAGTTGAAGCTGATTTATTCTGTTCTTCCCTAATTGAAGCCAAATACAAAGAGCACGCTCCAGCTGGGCTGATCCAAAATCATTCAATCGATTTGTTATCTGCGATCAATAAATACAATCTTCCTACGGGTGGCCGGATGGAAGGACCTGGAGCTGTGAGCATGACACCACTTAAACTGTTTGCACTTTATTACACACATTCATCAGAACGGGAAATAAGAGTCGTTCTGCTGTAACCGAATTAACAACATCAAGTTGTGCCAAATCCACAGAAAACAGCAGCTGAAGAGGAACAAAGATACAAAAGGAAAGAATTATAGATGGAATAAAAGCTAAAAGAGTAACACCTCTGCTTTTTATCAGGCTTCTTTTTCCCTGTTTCATTTCTGATTCTGCACTCAGCTGGTCGGCCTAGACCACTCGACCCAAGAGACACACACACACACACACACACACACACACACACACACACACACAGAGAGAGAGAGAGAGAGAGAGAGAGAGAGAGAGAGAGAGACGGGATTTACCTTCTGCAGTCAAACTCACACTAACACACTCCCCCAGACATCAGCCAGGCCCAACCCAGGCCATCTGTAGAGTTAGAGAGAGAAAAGAACCCGAGGGCTTCACACACACACACACACACACACACACACACACACACACACACACACACACACACACACACACACACACACACACACACACACACACACACACACACACACACACACAACACACACACACACACACACACACACACACACACACACACACACACACACACACACACACACACACACACACACACACACACACACACACACACACAGAGAGAGAGAGACTGGCCAGCCCAAGTATCATTGATTGTTCAGGGGAAGCACCCCTGAGATGCATCACATTATCTCTGAGCCAAGCTACAGCAAAAATCAACCCCTGGACTTTTTATTCTCTCTCTCTCTCTCTCTCTCTCTCTCTCTCTCTCTCACACACACACACACGCATGCACGCACGCACGCACGCACACACGCACACACGCACACACACACACACACACACACACACACACACACACACACACACACACACATTACCACAGGTTGTTGGAAGAGGAGGGATTGGTAAGGATGCAATTTCCTTTTCTTTTATAATGAAGTCGCTTTTCCAACCTGTTCCTTGTTTCAACTTCATGTGTCCAGAACAAAGTCAGGCTAGAGTTGAAATGAAATCCTGCTTCAGGCTGAATTGCTCATGAAGATGAGGAAGAGCAAGCAGCGGTGTGTGCTGACGTGGCCCCTTACCCTGGTCTCTGGTCTCTCATAAGCCGGGAGTCGCCTTCTCTCTGTTCTCCAGCTCCATCTCGTTTAAAATGTACTTCCCCTTCATTCCTTCTCTCTTCCTGCTGAAAGCCTTGCTGCGAGTCCACGGCAAACTGATAGGTGATGAGTTCCCTCCCCCTCCCACTTCTAGGAAACACTCCCAGAGGAGGAGGAGGAGGCAGATCCAGGCAGGAGACGGAGGATCCTAGAGCAGCGGCGGCAGTGGTGCTGATGCTGCGGCTCTCAGAGAAAGAGAGGGAGAGAGAGAAACGAGCAGCGGGATAGGTGTTGAACAAAAGACTTCTTCCTCCTTCCTGTTCTTTCTCTTTACCTTCTCCACTCCTTCTGCCGCTCTCACCTTCCTCCCTTCGATCTCAGTGCCGGCAGAAGCCAGTTGTTGCTCCGCTGGTGCAATAGAGCTGACAGCTGGCAACGAGCTAGTGGAGCGAACGAGGGAGCAGATGGAAAGAAGAGAGGGAGACAAGAAAGGAGACGGTGTGGAGTGATGTAGCATCAGTGAGAGAATGATAGAGAGGTGAGAGAGGAATACGGAGGTAGAGGTGGCTGGGGGGTGGGAGGATGGACAAAGTAAGGAGAGGAGGAGAGAGATGGGGATGGAAAGGTGGGGTGAGGGATGATGAAGGGAGGGATGAGACAGAAGAAGAAGACAGGAGGAGATGAGAAAACAGCAGAACTGTAAAAGGAGAGAGAGAGAGAGAGAGAGAGAGAGAGAGAGAGAGAGAGAGAGAGAGAGAGAGAGCGCAAGAGCTGCTGGAGCGATGAAAACCTTTAGCGGTGGTCCGTCCATCGGAGCCGCCGCCAAGGAAATCCACAAAATAATCACATTTCTGCATTACACACACACACACACACACACACACACACACACACACACACACACACACACACACACACACACACACACACACACACACACACATACACACACACAGGCAACTAGGAACAGAGGTATAATTGAGGTGTGACTTCTCCAACAGGACCGGCCTAAAAATGTATTTAAAATGAAAATAATAAATAAAAAGAATTAAAAGACAATAAGAATGTTAAAAGAGGAGGAAGACAACATGCTCCCGTCTCAGTTGGAACACACACACACACACACAAACAAACACACACACACGCATATGAAAAGTCACAGGACAACCTGTGATTTTGTGACATCTTTATTTTTCTGCTGCTGAGACACAAGAGAACAAAACGAGGTGTGGACTCCTGACTGCCTTCAGGGTTCTGCTTGTGTGAAGCTCCCTCGTCGTCTCCTCAGAGACAAACTTAACCGCCACACACACTGTTTTTGTTTTTGATCTAAAAAAAGTCACCTTTAATAATAATAATAATGAGGTTCATGCTCTGGTGTGGATATCCTCAGGTAGAAAATCCATCAGCGGTTCCTCTGCAGCACTGAGCTAACCACCAGGATGGTTGAAGGGACACCACGTTAGGGTCCATTTTAGGTGATCTGGATGACAAATGGTATATTGGAGCAACAGGTCTGCCTCCCCCCAATAAACAATCAGATCTGATCTTAACCACACCCATCACCTGTGTGATGTCTCATGACTGATCATTTCCTTAGAACGTTGACCACAAGCCAACAAAAAGGAGTTCCTGTGAGGCTGGAGCCTTTAGTCAAATGGAATTAAAACCCGTGAAGATGAGCCTGAGTAGGTGGTAAAGTAATCAGAACCACGGTTTCCTAAAGCATGGACCCAGCAGGACCAGGATGGAAGGGTTCGTGGTGGTGGAGTGTCCTCTAGTGGCAGCAGGAGGCGTTTCAGCTGTCACTGCTGCAGGTTAGAGATACAGCAGTCTCCCTCAGTGTGTGTGTGTGTGTGTGTGTGTGTGTGTGTGTGTGTGTGTGTGTGTGTGTGTGTGTGTGTGTGTGTGTGTGTGTGTGTGTCCAGTAAAGATGCAGTTTTTGATGGAGAGTCCTTCCCCCAATGCTACAAAAATGTCTATCTCCTTCAGATCATCTCTCTATGTCTCTCTCTCTCTCTCTCTCTCTCTCTCTCTCACACACACACACACACACACACACACACACACACACACACACACACACACACACACACACACACACACACACACACACACACACACACACACACACACACACACACAAATGTTTTTCTAGCATGTGGGCCTCAGTGAGAATCCAGCTGCATGCAGACACTGAGCTGCTGAAGTTTGACAAAAGGCAGAGAAACGGGTGTGAAAAGCTGCAAGGCCAAACATCAGCACGACAACACACACGTAACGGAGAGGAACGGGAAAAAGAAAAATCCATATGTCATTAGCAGCCAATTAATCCCATAAAGCAGTTTCCAGCAGCGGTGTTAAAAGCTGCGGCGAGTCAGATAAATAAAGTCAAGACTGCTGGGAGAAAATGTGTGGAAATAAGACGTTTGTGTGCCACACAAGACAAATGCTGCATTGCTTAAAGTCCACATGGAGCTTTAGGTCAAATTTGCCAAAAAAAAAAAAAAAAAAAGGGTAGAAAAAGTGATGTAAATGTTTAAAATACAAATAAATTTGGATGATGCCTTAAATTGCCTTATTTAATTGAACTCAGACCAAAATTAAAATAAAAAAATCTATCATATATTGAACAGTATTTCACTAAATGTTTTTTTTTACTCATTAATTCAATATATGTTGGTCCGCCTGCTTCAGGAAATAGAAGTGACCCACATCAGACAGGGGTTCAAGTGTCCCAATTAGCAAATGCACAACTTGGCCACGCCCCCTTTGCACGCTAGCTCAGCTCTTCACCAAAGTCCACATCGATGCAGACTTCAGTAAAGGGCATTACCCACAATCCATTGTTGCTTGTGACTTCCGGTGGAGCAATGGCTTTAGTGCCCTGTCAGAAAAATATGTATTTTCAACATAATTATCAAAATTTAGAGTATTTTATTATTGTTTGTTCTGTTTGCTTTGCATCGTTGATATTTTATCTCCACAAATGACACAAGCCTGAAGAAGTTCTGCTGTGTGGTGGAGTTGCTAATGCTAATGGTTAGCTTCTGCAAGTTGTAATGTTTTGTGCTGCTCGGTCAGCGGAGAAGAGGACGCATCTCAACTCAGACACGTGACACATTAATATTTGTCCGTAGGGTTAGTTCTGTGTGTTCGCTAATGAAACACAACTCGAGTGCATTCGGGCTTCTTAAGCCTGGTTTATGCTTCTCCGTCAGCTCCGCAATGGACAGACACGCACGGATTGACGGAAGCGTTTTGCTTTCATACTTCTCCGTCTCCTGGAGAGTGTTGCAAAGCAATTGCCCGGCAGGACCACAGAGGGCGTAGTGCTGTTCTGTGGTATCCTGTCATGTATCGGTCCAAGATCGTGTGTTTATATTGTGTTTTTTGAGTATATAAGAGACTTTTAACACGGACATATTTGTCTCTCATTCTCCCACCGCTTCATGCACTGCCCACCTCTAAACCCACGTTTCTTGTCATTTCCGTCCACAAATAAAACGCTCGCTGCGCATCTTTTCACTCCTCCAGTCACGGGAGAATTAAACGTTCACGTTTTAGAGTTTTTTCGCGAGGTATTCCTCAAGCTGCTCCGTGTCTGCCGCTAGTTATCCTCGGTTCTCTTTGCAATGGCGGCGCTGTAAACAACAGCGTCATCCTGACCAATCACAAGCTTGCGCAATCCGTCTCGTTCGACGGATGTTTAAAAAAGTGGGCTCGACTCCAACCGTACTTGCGTGCCTGCCGGAGTCCTACGCAAGAACAGATAATGGTGTTGCGTGTCTCCGCACTGACGCAGACGGAGAAGCATAAATCAGGCTTTAGTGATCATGTTGGGAGAACAGGTTTAGGGTTGAATTTTAGTGAGCACTGCTGCAGAAGAGGGCGGGGACAGGGGTGGATACCAGCTGTGAGGAACAACGACTGTCAGGTACTGATGATGATGATGATGATGATCTGACTTGTCTCCTTTTTAAGGACAGAGAGAAATAAAACTTGTAACAGCATCACTGCTTTGTCAGAGGATCTAGCTAAACTTCATTATTTCCTTTCATGGGCCAAGGTGATGTTATACATTGTGTTAAATTCAGCTTTAACCTTCTGAGACACAAATTTGTATTTGGTGGGTTTAAAAAAACTATTCTAGCTTTTACAAATTAGTCGATTCATAAATATGAACAAAATATTATGGATTTTAAAAAATGTAAATAAAATGTTGACAAATTTCCAAAAACAGCGCCTTCATGCTCATACACATTTCTGAAATTCAGATAATGAGATCACTGAGTCCCCATTTATTGATGTTATTTCCAGGAAAATTTAGCTGGTTTTTAAATCACATATTTTATTAGTTAAATTAGAATTCAATAACCTGCCAAAATGCACTAGAAAGGACATCTTCCTCACAGTACCCTGCTCCTCTGTCTTAGATCAGATCCATTTGCAATCCTCTCAACACTTTTCAGTATTTGGTGATTTGGTTCCTTAAAGTTATTTTTTTTTTTTTCGTGTGGGGGTCTAAAGCAGCACTTGCACCGGGCCTCAGCTCAAACTTGCTACACCACTGATGCAGGAGATAGACGTGGGAGACTATTTTCATGTTCAGCCACTCAAAGTGAAGGATTATAATCAGAAATAAGATTTAAAAAATATTTGTTTTCAGTGTTCCACACCTTTAAAGTGACAATGTGTAGCTTTTACCATTAATCTCTGGAAATATCCATCAAAACATTGTTGTAAATAAATTCAAAGATACCCAATTGTTGAAAAATATTGGCAGTTTCATAACATAACCATAAAAATCTGTTCTAAAATACATGGAGCGGGTCTAAGGCCCAGTCCCAATACTTGCACTTGCACCCTTGTGCCCTTAAAGTGTGCGTTCCTGGCCAGGGGTGCAAGTGCGTAGAGTGCCCCGATTTCCAAGTGCGTAAGTTGACCACGCCCCTATTGCACCCTTAATCTGCACTTCACCCAAGTCCGCAGCGATGTGGACCTCGGGCAAGGGTATTACCCACAAGTCATTGCTGCAGGAGAAAAAGCTCAAGTTCCTTTTCTTAAAATATGTATTTTCTAATGAAAGTAGATAATGTAGGATGATTAGTTGATGCTGTAAAACTTTTAGACAAAGCAGCAATAAATGTAAATTTATTTCTAATAAATGTTTGGCTGATTGTTTAAAAGTTGTTAGTAAAGGTTTTTGAAAAAAGTATCACACCTACCAGCCTCTGGCATGTGTTGTCATCGATGACGCAATGCTCCCTGTGATTTATATCTGTGAAAGGCGCTATATAAATAAACTTTACTTACTTACTTACTCAATTCTGCAATTACTTGCACACTTGTGTACTACGCACTCAAAGCCTTAGAGCGCACTTTCTCCAAGTGCACTTTGCTGAAGTCCACAGGGTGCAGTGTGAGTATTGAGACTGGGCCTGAGTCTCTCCTTCTACGGAAGCCAGTGAGGACAGAATGTGTTTACTGATTTGTAACAAATGGTTACAAAACTTTCACCATTATTAAACTTAGTTGTTTTACACATGTACCTCTTCACTCATTGCCAGAGATGGAAGGGAATCTGATGTTCTTGTTATTTTGCTGGAGGTTGCCCTCCCAGGGATTTGTGACCATAACGGCCATCTGTCGGTAAAGTTGTACTT